CTGTCAGACAAGGGATCTTGCAGCTCTCGTCCCATCTGGAGAATTCTTTACTGATGTCTCCCATAAGGACCACTTCCTGTCCTAAACTGACATGCAGTGCAGCTGTTAAAAGCCTCCCACCCCAGCCCTGAGCAAAGGGTCCCAGTATAAACACCCCCCGCACCTCACCCCACAGGGCTCACGTCTCGGCATCAGGCGTGCATGGCAAACGCAAGTCCCCCTGTCTCTCTCTGTCTCAGGGTCTGGAGATCGTTAACCCACAAGCGGCAGAGAAGAAGGTGGCGGAGGCCAACCAGAAATACTTCTCCAGCATGGCAGAGTTCCTAAAGGTGAAGAGCGAGAAAAGCGGCATCATGTCCAGCACATGAGCCTCTTCCCTACAGACTCGCCCTTGCCCCCTCGCTCAGAGCCCAGCCGCGCTGGGAAGCATCGGGGAAGTTCTGGGGCTTTTGCTCCCTCGATCAGCAGGACCTGGCCCTTCCACCTCCCAGCTGTGGAGAAGCTGGGCCGAGCCAACCTGCTGTCTCCTGAGCATCTTTCTGTTCCTGGGGGGCCCCCCGCCTGAGCTCCACACAGGCTGGGGAGCTCTGAGTGTGTCCGGGGAGGGGAGTGAATTGTGTGGGAACCCCTAGTCCTGTTCACTGTATAAGGGGTGTGAGAAAGAGAGAGAGACTTGCTAGCTGTATAAACTAGTGGGTGTGTGTATATGAGATGAATGCAGAATGGCTGGTGCATCAATTTCTCAGTGCTCGTGTTGAAATCTCCCTTGGCTTGTGCCCGAGAGCAGAGGCGGGGAGTGGGCTAACAAAAGGGGGGTGGAGGGATGTTTATTGGGAGCAAACATGGGGGCTGAATCTGTCTTTTAAATTTTGTTTTTGGAAGAAATATAACAGGCTGGAAGCGAGTATCTCTGGTTCTTGTTGGGGGCAATTCTCTGAAAGGGAGGGGATGGGCTAAAGGGAATTAGCACGCTAGTGGCAGCCCGTTGTGCAAGGTGTTGTCCAGCTGCAGAGCAGCAGTGACTGGGGCTCTCGGTGGCGTATGTGGCCCCTTTGTGCTCGGAGCTGTACATGCTGCTGGTATGAGTGACCCTGCAGCCCCTCCCAGAGCAGCTGGAAGTCTACCACCCTTGATGCTGCCCAACGGTCACCAAGAGCGAGGGGCCTCTTCCAGCGGGTGTTTAAATGCAGTCACTGAAATTTGGGCCCCAGTGTGGCAGCAAGAGAGGGTCTCCTATCGGGCTGGCGCCCTGACCTAAAGGATTTAGTCTAAATAGCTTCAGAATAGGAGAAACTGAGGCCAGGGGTGTGCTGCTATTTGCCCAAGATCCAGCAGGAGGGTGGTGGCAGAGCTGGAACTACCAGGTCTCAGGAGTCCTGGGCAGGAGTCCTGGGCAGGAGCCCTACCCCCCCCAGGTGGGGAAGTAAGAGTGGTGACCCGCATTGTGCTTGCTCTTCTCCCTTGTCTCATACCGTTTTCTGGGTCACTCTGATTTCCTCTCCTTCATGCTGCCATGACCTGAGTGCAGGAACAGGTGTTCAGTTGGCTGGGGCTGGTTCCTACCCCCATCTCTGGGAGATGAATGGGGGCTACTGCTTAGAGTAGGGGGTGTGAGAGTCAGGCTGGGGCCCTCTTTGGGTAAGGGAAGGGGCATCTATCCTTGACACTAACCCCTCCCCTACAGTCAGTCAACTGGCCTAAGCCCTCCTGAGCATAGGTGCAGTGATCCCCTCTCGTGCTGTGGGCCCTGGGGCTGTCCTAGCCTAAGCACCATCATCCAGTCTTCTTGGAGGTGGGTGTGAGCAGGGGCGTCCCTACCCTGCAGTCCATGACCTTTGCCCTCCTGGGGTACTGGGTCTGGCCCCAGTGTGGGGAAACTCCACCACCCCCATGCCCACACATTCTGCTGCCCTAACCCACCTCCTATGAGCTGGACCCCCAAACACACACACACACACACACACACA